CCATTCCTGTTGGCTCCACTCCAGCCCTTTCTTCCTTTCTGCTCAGCCCTGGGGGCTGGGGAGGTCACACACCTTTCCTTCATGGGGATTGAAATATATTGTAATTTAAGCTTCCTAGCTCCATGCACATGGAGTTGATGGTCAGGGACATGCCAGACATGTATTGTTATGCAAAACAGTGGGGAAAATAGTTTACTATTGTCGTTACTATCAAATGTCAGCTAAGGAGGGTTAATCCATGAGTAGGTGTGCTACGGAGGTATTACATCCTATACCAGGTTATTGCCATGCCAATGACTGTCTTGAGCATTTTGGGAGGCAAGGTGCATGGATGCAAGTCTCGGAGGACTTCTGAACAGCAAGTCCTTGTTGTGTGGGCTAGCTCCAGAGAGCCAGCTGGGCATCTCTCAGCAAGGCAGTTGTCAGCACACTGACTCCACATTGCTGGCTCTCACTGCTCTTTGGTTTATGGGACAAAGATCAGATCCTCCTGTAGACGATGGCCTACCTCTCCTCCTGGCCTTTGTCCATTCTGTTCTTGATCGTGAAATAAAACCAGACGTCAGCCATTTTTCTCTTCTGCCACGGATCAGTATTCTACATTATGCTGCCTGCAATGTCTGTTCTCAGCTTTGATATCAAAAAGCAAATATCAGGTAATTTTTTGAGATGTGTGCTCTGTAATTAAATAGTTGCTTGGAAAGTGCCTGTGGGGGAAATGTCAATGCTCCACCAGACAGTGTAATGAAGCTCATGCAATAAATCAGGCCCTTTCACTGTCGCTCTCATCTCTGTCTTGGTGAACATGAGTCATTTCAACAGCGACACAGTTGAGTTCTGGCATGCCTACTGCTATAAGCACTGTTGGAACTTTAGTCTTGTGGTTCTTAAAATTAACTGCCTGCAGGGCCGGCTGCATTCCCAGCCACTTGGACCCCCTCCCCAGAAGAATGCACTTCAGAGGACAGCACTGAAGCTACAGCTCAGGGAGAGGGGCGGGTCTGCTCAGAGCACACAGGAGCAAATGAAGAGGGAAGAAAGAGAGAATGGAACACATCCTGGCCCACAAAGCCCCAGTGATGATATTCCTGCTCAGAGCAGCCAATGCACAAAGAGGACCCATCCCTCACTTAACCATAGCTCTGGCGGACAACATGGGAGACACAGTGCGGGAATTGTGCCTGATCTGACCCTACCGCACCAGGGCAAAACACAAAGGGCGTACAACAGAGCAAAGCAATGAAGACCCTGAGGAACCCTAAAAATAGAATTTGGGGACAGTGTGGCACCTCATAGGCTTGACTGGAAAACATGCATCAATGTCAACAGACCTGAAACTATTTATAAGCTTTTATTTTGTTGTTGTTTTGGTGTTTGTTATTTTTTTTGCATGTCTATCTAGATAAGATAGGCGGGATAAACAACCTGAGGAGAAAATAACAGGACTGACTGTTCCGGGGACACGGAAAAGGGAAGCCAACAAACCCAGGGACAAGGGAACAACAAGTGATCTAAAATCGATGGCAAGGAGGACATAGGATGCCTGGTGGCCTTGATCAAGTGCAATGTAATCAAGAGGAATTAGAGGTCGAACATGATGGTGGGACAAGAGGATAGTAAAAGGAAATAGAGGAAAGAAGTAGGAGGCACAGGACATTTATAGAAGTCTAAATACAGGCATGCACATACATAAATATATTCATATATAATGATAGGGAAATAGATATCTATGCACATGTTTATATGTTAAGTATTAAGGTAGCAGACAGACATTGGGCCCCTACTCAAGTACTCCCTCAACGCAAGAAAACTTTGTTCCAATAACCTAGCATTCTGTGATACTCACCTTCCTGAAGACAAAATGGGTGCATAAGCAAATGTAGTGAAAAAAGCCAATGGTTCCCGTGTATCAAAAGATAAAGCATCTGGGGTCTTCAAGACTTGAGGATAAATAAGCGGCCATCTAGCTGAGAAGCATAAAGCCCACATGGGACCCCACACACACCCTTACCTCCAACACTAACACCTTCACCCCACACACTAACACCAAAGGGGGGAAAAAAAAAACACATGGAAGAAACACACCAGTCTGTGTGATCATGAGGTGTCAATGGGATCAAGGGAGAAGGCATCAAAGACTCAGAACAAACAATCACATCAGTGCAAACATGGGGGAGGGCAGAATGGAGACCCAAAGCCCATCTGTAGACAACTGGACATCCCTTTACAGAAGAGTCACAAGGAAGAAACCAGCCAATCAGGGTGCAGTATAGCACCAATACAACTTTCCTCTAGTTCTTCAATGCTTCCTCACCCGGACTATCATGATCCCAGTTCTACCTTACAAATCCAGTTAGACCAGAGCATGTCCACTGGTACAGATAAGAGCACAAAACGCAGGGAATCCAAGACAGATAAACCCCTCAGGGCCAATAATGAGAGCAGCAATACCAGGAGGGTAATTGAAAGGTCTGGGGAGAAAGGGGGAACCGATCACAATGATCAACGTATTCAACCCCACCCCACCCCACATCAGGGGGATGAACAACAGAAAAGTGGGTGAAGGGAGACAGTGGTCAGTGTGAGACATGGAAAAAACAATAATTTATAAATCATCAAGGGTTCATGATGGAGGATGGGAGAGGGAGGGAGGATGGGAGAGGGAGGATGGGAGAGGGAGAAGTTGAAACCAAGTAGAAAGAAAGTGTTTCAAAAATGATGCTGGCAACATATGTACAAATGTGCTTGACACAATGGCTGTATGTATGGATTGTGTAAGAGCTCCAAATAAAATGATTAAATAAATAAGTAAATAAAATAACTGTCAAAAATCAAGAAGGGAGAAATAGAAAACTCAATTTTAATCTTTGGAGACATGGATGGATGAACCCACAAGAACTAAAAGATTTGGACAATGACAAAGTGGCCAGACCTAACTGCTAGCTCCAGAACACACAATCACATTCTTCTCAAGTACAGATGGGACCTTCGCTCAGACAGACTACACACATACGCTTCACAAAGCAACACTTTCCTTCCTCTTCCATCCCACCCCTTCTAGAAATGTTGCTTGCAACCACTACATTGATTTCACAACCCATTTCTTTGGCTGCATTTTTAAAATCAACCTTATAGAGCAAGTATTTAAATACCAAATTAACAGAAAAGGATTATGAAGTGAATGTGGTACTGCCTCAGAAAGGGCAGAGGGAAAAGAAAGAGTTCATCTGCCAACAGCCTGGCGTCACCTAACCAACCAACCGTACATACAGTTCACTGTATCCCGAATCTCACTGTGCTACCTTGGTGGAGGACAGCGTTGCTGGGCAGCACCGGCCAGTCCCTAGCAGCTGGGATCTCACCGGGGGGCTCCTTGACTTGGAAGTCTATCCGTCTCTCCAACCATGTCTGCCTGGCATTTCAAGAATCATGCACACTGGTTTCCCTACACACTGTTACCAACGAGAGAGGCTGCCACCATCTTCCTGAATTACTAAGGTTTAAGAATGGAATCAAGAAAGTAGAAACTATTCCAAAGGTCAAAACACAAAGCATTGCTCTCTCCCAGGGTAATTTTGGCTGATAGCAGCCTTCTCTTTAGAAACGGAAATGATATGCTTGAGGTGGAAGGGAAACCGGTAAGCAGCACTTAAAGCAACATTCCTGTGATGAGATCAACTCCCCCCACGTTAACAAGCACAATCAAGACCTCGCCACATCCACCTGCCGCCCACGACTCTTCATCTGCCTGTATTTCGTGCTCTTCCATAATCTGACTTCTTGGTTTTCAACTTTCATGAACATGAAAGACACTTCTCATTTTGTGACTTAAAAGAGTTTTATTTAGCATTTAATCTCCATATATCTTGGTACAACAGATTATAACAGCTCTCTGTAAAGATTTCCTCTACAGGAAGTTAAAAACAAAATCGATTGCCCAAGAAAGGAAGCCACTCTCTTAAAGCCTTTTACAGGAACAGACAAGCACTCTCTTGCAGGCCAAAGGGTGGCATGTATACAGCACTTGCAAGCATATCAAATGAGACACATGATTTAAGGACATCCTAATATCTTCCTAGGAGGTTGCCGAGAGTCAGAAGTGAACCCGAAAACACATAATTCAAAGGTTTCAATTCCATTTTTAAAAACAGTACTTCTGTTAACCCAGGTAGGTTTTGGCCAAAGTGAGCTAAAATTCCCACATCTTGGATTAAATTAACTGTAAAATGAAGCTGCAGACCCGATATCTACATATGCCTTTGCCACCCAGCAGCACCCACACCAAACACAAATACACGCCCCCCCCAAATACTTTAGATCTCACAAAGGGCAGGGTCAGTAAGTGGACAGCAAGTGGCCTAGAGGACACTGAATTATGTTCCCGCTAATATTACTGGAAATGAATCCCCATTCTTTCTAAGTGACTGACCTGTCAGCTTCAGGAGCATCTGTATTAGCCACTGTGATCAGTATCAGTAGTGGATCAAGTGTGCAGTGAGGGTCCAAGCAAGGAATGAAAACTTAAAATACAAAGCTGTACGTTCATTTATCTGCACTTGATGTAAAGACAATCTTTTCCTTTCTATAAGGGTCCAGTGATTGTGGCACTACTTCTGACATGAGTCATAACAGGATGTTTGGGAACCATCCCTCTCAGTTTGGAATCTTACAAAATGGAATGAGTCCTTCAACCTCTGAAGCCATTTTAGTTCACAACTTTGCTTGATTTTTGTTTCTTCATTGTTTTAAAACTTGCCCAAGCACACCTATTTGAAGTACTGTATGACCAAATATATTGTTATCCAATCTTCCCAAAGCGCCCAACTGAATATTCATTCAAATAAGGCTTCCCACACCCATCGCCCTGCCCCAAAGCCCACACTGCTGGCGAGGGGGTCCTGACTCACAGCAACCCTAGCGGGCAGAGGAGAACGGCCCCTGTGGGTTTCTGAGACTGGAACTTTTTACCGGAGTAGAAAGCCTCCTCTTTTTTCCTATAGAGCGGCTGGTGGCTTTGAACTACTGACCTTGTAGTTAGCAATACAACTCGTAACCACTACCAGGGCTCCCAAATTCCCTGGTTTAAGCAAATCTGTATTTCAATTGTGTGCTTGCAATGTTCAGTATTGAGCATGCTGGTTTTGGCACATGGCTCAACCAAGGGTGAGGGCGCGAGAGCACCTGAGAAGGGCAGGGTGTGGGCTCCCAGCAGGCGGAGCACCCCCGGTCATCTGCTGCGTTCAGCAGGTGAGAGCGCTTTGCTTGGACTCAGAGGTTCTGACAGCTGAATCTGAACACAATCCAGGGGCTTTGCTAACCACCAAAACTAGAGCCTTAATCTGCGGCAACTGCCAAATGTGAACACAGTTGCAAAGGGGAGTGTGCACCAGATGCAAGCGGAAATTCTCTTGGTACAGGGGCTGGAAACCGGAGCCGGGCTTCAGAAGGTTTCTCCTTGATTCTGTGTCTGCTGATGGCAGGGTCCTCAGAGACGGCCGAGGAGCACTCAGCGTCTCGCATGGGTTTCCTGAGAGATCTGGTCATCAGGAAACAGCCTGGACTGTACATGTTCACAGTGTCTTGGAAAGAGGATATGGATTTTGTCTTACAAGATCTTTTTGGCACTTTATACCTTTTACTAAAGACTACAAGCTTTGGAGACAATGGTACCCAAACAATGGCACCCACTGGGTGGAAGGGTGGGGGGTTGGGGTAGTGGGGGCAGCATCACTGAATGACCACAATTTAAAAGAAAAAAAATCACCGTATGCCATCAAAAAATTTAAGTACATTTTCATGTGATCAAGATTTCAAATACCCAAAGTGCTTAGACTAACACATACAGGAATATTCAAACCAAAGTTCAATGTATCTGAAAAGGTAACAGAGAATTTTAAAACGCAGCCACACTGGTGGACGCACTTGTACCTTACATGTGCTTGTGTCAACTAGAGAAAGGCACTCGGAGGATGCTCTGACCCATGCTGTCAGCTGCAACAGGCATGCATCGTTACTGGCTTACTTAAGAGTTGTTAGACTGATTAAAATGCCTTATTTCTGTGTCATCCAAAACTGCAGTGGTCGCCCATCTTCTTAAGGAATATAAGGAACATGTAATTCAGTCGTTTCAGCTGCATAATTTCATAATGTAGCTACTGTCGATTTCTTATTTAAATAAATTTTGATAAAAGCCAAATATCCTTGTGTTCAAAATGACAGTGTAGAAAACGTTTTGACAGCTGCTTAGGAAGTACTAACTGGATATAAAACGATTTGCACGTGCACTATCCACCTTGCTGCACGTGTTACCTGGCTTCACTCAATGGCAAGGAGAAGCATTTACATCTGCAAGAACAAGGGCGGAAGTTCATCGCGCTTGCCATCTCGATTGAAGTCAATGCATGATATGCTTTTATCAGCAACTTCGACAAGCCCCCACCAGGAAAACTTAATTCGAAAAGCAATCATCAGAACTTTGGGGGGCAGGTACCCTCAATTTGCTTCTTCGTAGGCAGGACTCGGAGGCACTTTTGAGTCAGGAAAAGTCGCACTAGCAGGACCTCACAGCAGACTGGAGACACAAAGCCCACCCGGTCTGAAAATGCTGTCTGCTAAAAATACCACAGCAGCAAATTTGTTAAGCCCCAGCGTTTTAAAAATATTCACTTTGCAAGGTTGTAAGCTGTAAAAAAATACAAAGGCTAAAAACACAAACAGTTTACAAAATTTTGCAAACTCAGTCCATTTAAATGAGTAAGAAGTAAAGCAAAGCTCTCTTATATGAAGGCGGGGTTAAATAGTTACCAGCAGGTTTTAAAGTCAGAACCCAAGTTCTACTGGCTACAGACAATATGGACCTGGAACACTTGTTGGCAATGCTTTTCCGCATCAAAACACACACACACACACACACACACACACACACACACACACACACACACAGTACATTATACATATTACTGAAATCCTACTACACACTACAATTCAGACACAGTTCAACCAAAAAGTTTCATATACATACAAAGGCCTAACATGATTTTTTTCCTAATGAAAATTGAAAACAATAAAAATAAAAACAAACCAAAAATCTCCAAAATACAGGATACGAAACACTAAAGAGCTCTTTAAAAAGCTAATGAATGATTGGTCTTCACAAGTGAAATAAAAGCAAATAACTTAATCACACACACCCTCAATTCAATCCAACCAGAACTGTCTCAAGACAGCTGAAGGCTACATGTATTTCAAATCCTGAACAGGCTCACAATTCCCAGAAGAGTGGGTGACCGTTCAGGCTACCAGTGAACACAGGTTGATCTCCCCAACAAAATGCTAGGCCATGCTGAGAAACATTTATGCTGAAGAACATTAATGGAAAAGAGACAAGATGAAAAGAGTTTGGACTTGTGTAAGATGCTTCCAAAGATGGCTAACACTTGTGTAAACATCTGTAGAACTTACTCATCACAGCTTTAGGGTGCAGGGTACCTAATTACATAAGAAATGATCAACTGAGTTTCGCTGTATCAAAAATAGGGATTGAGGAGGACGCTGTGCTACTTGTTTCGGGTGAGCTTGTAAACGTGGAACGTCTTGTTCTGGAACACTCTGGTGAAGTGCGCCGTGTACGGGGGCAGGCTTCTCTTGATCTCTGCGCAGAAGCGAGGGTGGTCCGCAGCCTTCAGATCAGGCTCGTTCTCCCCTGGGCCGTCCATCATCTACAAGCAAACACAGCCCCCCAAACAAGAAACTTACTTAAATGTGATCGTAGATGCAAGAATAGGTATTATGTAGGAGTAGTTACGCGGTTTCTTTAAGACTTGTTAAATTAAATCAAATTATTTTATTTAAATTTCAGTGGCAACTTGGAGAACATCTGGTCCATCTCTTCTACCTTTCAGATGTCCAAATCAAGGCTGAGAAGGCAAGTTCAGGGTCATACAAGGATTAGCATAAATGGCAAAGGTGGAACTTGGGTCTCCTTGTTCTTGGTGAAGTACTATATTGTCCCTCAGATGATAACAAAGAGAAGAATTACAAGGACCAAAGAAAGTTCTTTTAAATAGTTATGTAGCCTAGTTATAAAAAGTTATACAGAAGGCAAAATTTAAGTGCACTTTTGTGGTCCTCTGAATATAACATAACTCTGGCACATTACTTTCCTTGGATAAAAATCTGAATCTACTGCAGAAAAATCTAATAAAAAGGGGAAATGTAAAACATAATTTCAAATTCTTATGGAATCTAGATTTCTGGAATCAAGGATGCTGGACGAACTCCTGAACTTACTAGCCAAAGAGAACTTTAAACCAAGGCCAACCATATTAGTTTAACTCTAGCACAACTAGATTATTTCTGTTTTCAATTTTTGTTGATACCATGTGTTTTCAGTAATGAAATTGAGGGGAAAACTTTTTATGAGGTATTGTGGATTTTGATACAATTATGTGGAACACATGTCCCAAGTGGACACTAGTGGAAGAATGGTTAAGATGAGGATAATTTAAGATGAGGGTAAATTCTACAAATTCACACAGCTACACAGGTCATGTATTTACAGACAATTTTGAGACAGGACTATCCCAAGAAACCTGAGAGATTGAAAACATTGGTGGGTGAAATATGTCCCACAGGTCACAAAAGCTGTAACTAGTAAAGATTGCGTGCCTTAAGTTTTATGTTCTTTTAAGATCTATGTACATATGGAATCAAACTGCCAACAGCAACTTGAAAGATTTGATAGCAACGTTAGGGAGCAGTGGGGAAAAGGTGAGGATGTTTGTCCAACTGGGAAATAATCAATGTCACTGAGCCGCTGGGCTAACAGAACCTGTTTGAGTGCTGGCTTTAAACAAGCTTGAGCTGGGACGTTATTGTTTTTAAGCAGTGCACTACTTATTAAGTAGATTTTATACAGACCTCCAGGGCACAAAAGAGCAAACGGAGGAGCTGCTGGCTGCTGTGAAGCTGGGAATCCAGGGCCCCTCCCTACCCTTTCCTCGGCTCCTGTGGCAGCCCTGCAAGTATGGCAGTAGAGTTCTGCAGGATGCAAGAGAACAGTGGATGTGTGCTGCATCTTGCAAAATGTAACCTGATTTACAGGACTTGGGATGCTTAGGTCTCGACTTGGACACCCCCCCCACCCGAGCCCTGACATCCACAAAACGGGAATATGCTCACATGTCCATTGGCGACGTCCAGCAGGTCCCTCAGTCGGCAGCCCCGGCGGTGCCTACGCTCGTAGCAGATGCTGTCCTCCAGGATGACGTAGTCGGTGCCAAAGGACCTGAGCAGCGCATGTACATCCTCTGGGGACCTCTTGGCATAAATCTGATAAACCTTTCAGAATGAGATTAAAACGGAGTGAGGGCACCATCGCGTTCTACTGCCAGAGTTTGTTGAAGGCATAAATCGGTGGCCCGGGCCCCGCCTCTTGCTCTCTATTTCCTCTCCCTTACCCTCCCAGGCCACTCACCAGCAGTCCTGGAGCATATAGGAACATTATTTAGCCTTGAGCAGAGGAATGTGAGTCTTGTGGAATAAATCAAGATTTGGCATGCAGATTCACAGTGGGTGCTATTTCTGAGACCATTTTACCAAAGTATATAATGTGGTGGAGTAAAGGGGGCCTTAAAGGGGGCCTACATACAAGAGTGTTGAAAAGCAGGGAGGTTATTTTGAGCACTAAGGTGCGCCTTATCCAAGCCATGGTATTTTCAATTCACCTCATAAATGCATGTGAGAGTTGGACATTGCATAAGGAGGACTGAAGAAGTGATTATTTGATTAAGGTGCTGGCGAAGACTATTTAAAGTATCACAGACTTCCCAGAGAACACACAAATCTGTCTCAGAAGAAGTTTAGCCAGAAGGACCCTCAGAGGCCGGGTGGTTAAGACTTCAGCTCACGTCCTGTGGAGAGCAGTCTCTGGAGAAGGACATTACGCTTGGTAGACGGGCAGTGAGAGAGAGGAAGGCCCTCAGAGATGGACGGACACGTGGCTACAGCAGTGGGCTCAAACAGAGCAACTGGGAGGATGGTGCTGAATTGGGCCGTGTTTCCTTCTGTTGTGCTTGGGGTCACAAGAGGTCAGAACTGACTCAATGGCACCTAACAACGGATACAGTGCCCCCTTACTCGGTCTCTAGGGGGCTTGGGGTCTGGTGATGGCAGCTGGGGGGAAGGCCCTGGTCAAAGGTACAGGCTTTACATCTCTGTGCTTCATCTCACTTGATCACTATGAGACCAAGCCCCAGCTCCACTGATGGGTGCCAGGAACCAGAGCCAGTGGGCGCTCGTGAGGGAGAGGAGGCCTTCCCAGTCCTCCTGGGCATCGTCAGACACGGGAAGGGAACACACCCAGCCCAGGTGTGGCTTCCATCCTAGGCGGTGCTGGAATGGGGACAATTGGTGGGGGTGGGGCAGGAGATGATGGAAAGGAGTGTGGTTTCCCTGCTTCCTGCTTGCCTTCCATTTTAGAGTTCTGACTTCAGGGACTGCATTCGGAAGGCCTAATTCTCGGTGTCCGCCAAACTGGATGTGATGAGAGGAGGCTACTGTGAAGCTGTCCTATAGTCCGGCCGGGCCTGAGACTAAAGGTGTCCACGGATGAGAAGAATCTGGGGGTTTTCAGGATGCTAGGCTTTGCTACCAGGGCCGGGACTGGAACTTAAAGAAAGGCAGCAGGACCCCAGACTCCCTAGCACAGTCTGTTTGCCTTCTCCACAGCACGGTGAGTTAGGCACCCCTGCTCGGGCTGTCTGGGAAACTCCCATAGCTGGATCCGAGTCAAGGAAAAGGTACCCCTGTGCCACAGTGTTTAAGTGCTCGGCTGCTAAGCAAAAGCTCAGTGGTTCAGACTGACATCCTTAGAAATGCTACTCTGGTTAAGGTAACCCTCCTCTGTCCTGTACAGCCATACTGAATTTGAATGGGCAATTGCTAAGTTAAGACAACAAATCCTTCTTTTTCTGAGTTTTAATTCAAACTATTTTATTTAGTTATGTAGCTTTTTACTGGGAATTGGGTAAAGGTTTACAGAAGAGATTATCAGTTTTACATTCACTATTTCTTGCACATTTTGTTTCAACTCACCCATTTCAATTCCCACATGGTAACATCGCTTATCCCACTTGCTCCCACAATTTCCTGTTTCCATTCCACCTTCTTTCCTAGTCCTCCGTCCTTGGGTAAATGCTGTCCTTTGGGTCTTAAATGGTTGTTTCTGTCAACAAGGCGGTGAGTTCGATTCTGGACCTGAAGCACCACTTGGAGGCTCCACTTGTCTCTGTCAACCACTAAGCCTGACGCTTCTGGATTTCAGTTCTGAAGGTATTTTCTCCCACTCTATCCAGGACTTTCAAGATGGTCTTTTCAGAGCTGTTGGTAGAGGTAGTGGGCACCATCTAGTTCTTCAGGTCTCAGGGATATGGAGACTGACAACCAAACTTTTGAATAACTTTCAAATACCAAGACCAAGGAATGACCAACATGAAGCATCAGAAAAATGTGACACCCTGCTGCCACGGTTTCGGGAAGCAGGCACTTCCTGCATTGCTGAGTGGCCCCAGCTACACCACTGGTACCCACTTTATCTGACCCAACAATGCCATGCCAAGGAATCTGAACTACAGATCTTCCATGAATGCTTTATGCAGAAGAACACATGTACAAGTTCTTTATTTACAGTACAGGGGAATAATCAAATAGTTAAATAAAATTTGGTTATTTACATAATGTAATATTATGGTGTTTTAAAATCATAAGGTAAGATGTTTATATATTGCTATGGAATGAGTTTAAAAATATAGAAAGTGCCCCAAAACGGCATGACATGGCATGCTATTCCTTGTGTAGAAAGGAAGAAAAGAATATGAATGTGTACATATATATTTGTATGCGCAATCAGAACACTGGAGAGGATACATAAGAAACTGGTCTCAGTACTGCCACCTAGGAGGGGAACCAGTGGCTGAGAGGGGTAGGAGACCTAACACTACAGTCTCTTTTTTTTCTTTCTTTTAAAATGGTTTTATTGGGAGCTCGTACAACTCTTACCACAATCCATACATCCATCGTGTCAAGCACATTTGTACATTGTTGCCCTCATCATTCTCAAACCATTTTCTTTCTACTTGAGCCCTTGGTATCAGCTCATTTCCCCTCCCCCAGCCCCTTCTGTACGTCTTGATGTTCTAACTTTGTGGCTGTGCTATAGCTATGCACTGTAGGTAAAATGCCATGAAGCAGAACAAGTGGGCCACACACAGTGACCAGCACATCCCTGCCTTCTTCTTCCGCTCCTAGTCAGTGGTCCTGAGGCTTTGCTCCCCAATGCCACCTCCTCAGTTACTCTAGCCAACATGAGCCTGGGCGCAGCAGCAGCATGCCCGGGGCAGCCAGTGAGTGGGCCGAGGAGATGCCAGCCTTGTGCCCTATGCTTTTCCTCCGGATTACTGCCCCTACCCACAAGCTGTAGGGGTGCATCAGGCACCACACATCTTATCTTGACCGGGAACAGGAAGCCCACACTGGGGGGGCCCTTACCGCTTTGGTTCGCTCCCTCAGGCTTTTGTCTTCGTAGTGAGGGTGGTTGGTCAGGATCCTCCCCGTGCACAGCTTGACTCCAGCCAGCAGCTGCATGCTTCCAGCAAACACAGCCTTCCTCGGCGTGTGCGAGCTGAAAGGGTTCAAAGTCTGAATCAATCCAAAGCTAGATGTCCGAAAAGACAGTAGACACTCAGACTACCAAGCCTTCCAAGAAGTGCTAAGAATTGGGAAAACAGAGGGGGCTGCCTGGGTTTCTGATTTGCACTCCAAATATTTTAGGAAACTTTCCACACCTACTTTCGACTGTTGGCGAGTACACAAGTTCACTAGGAAGCTTGTAATGTCCTATCTTGATGGATTTACTATTATAATAAACTGTCTCCCGAAGCAGGCAGCTCCTGAATCTAAGATTTCTAGGCTAAAACCCATAATCCTCTCTGACTGCTCCATAGGGGCAGAGGCTAACAAGAATTCAAAAGATTGCTATTGCTTTTTGCTGAACATGTTCCATGTTAAATTTCCATTAAACTAAAGATACAATAAATTATCCATCCAGAAAACACAAACTGATCATGAGCAAGTGATAAGGTTTTTGTTGAAAATGAAACCAAGATCACAGACATTACCATAAATTATTTTTAAGCAAAGCAGAATTCATGAAAGTGAAGGAACACAGAGTGCAAAGTAGCAAATGTTATCTTATTTAACATGGGAATGTACAAGACGTCTACTGTAGAAACACAAGAATTATAGCTTTCCTTTTGTGCATTTCCTTCAGATGATGGAAATCTTAAAGAACACAAGGCTTCCTAACACTAAATGATGATCTCACTTTCTAATTACCGAAGGCTCTGATTTTGTCTTCCCGTTGGACGCGAGGGACGATGACAGAAGACCAAAGGCAGACGTCCTGAAGAAGGTACTTGACTTAATTCTTCTCCATTTTGGCAAATCTAGCCCATCACTTGGTGATGTTGGGAGGGGTTTGGATCATCACCAAAAACACAACCGTTCTTCCAGGCAGTCGTTCCCCTAGAGCCACACAGAAGCTACCAGAGGCCCGGGGTACCATGAGCTACACATACCCCTGTGCTGAGTAAGAGGAGTCTGCTAGACTGCGGTAAAATGGAGTTCGTTTTAAGAAGAAAAGAGCCTACTGAAAATGACTGAAACCCACCACCCTCTGCAGGAGTGGCCCTGGCAGGATGCTCTCATTAGTCTGCAGAGAACCCACGTGAAAACTTGCTCTGGGGCTGAATTTCTAAGAGCTGCCCTGTCAGATTCACAGCTCTCAGGAGAATGCTATCCTTTATCCCAACCCCACACTAAGATCACGGCGCCCAGCAACGGGGGTAGAAGTGAGCAGACGCGAGTCGCACGGTGACATTTACTTTTGAAGCTTCTCTCTGACAATCACCTTCGCGTTCACTCCCATTCCAGTAATCGTCACTGATGGTGGAACTACGGGTAGGACAGAAGGATGGCCCACGAGCTGCATCCTGCCTGACCCAGTCCAACACACGGGTCATGTCAACGTGGCTGGACTTGAAAACCCAGGGACACAAGAACAAAGAAGTGCTTGTAATTCATGGGGAAGCTCAGACATCTGTCCCACATGGTCAGAAGATGCTGGTTTCAATAAAAATACGTAAAGGTTCCTTTGTGAAGAGGTTTTACAGATGCTGTTTTATTCTAGTAACCACGTAGTCAGTGCCTCATCTACTGACTACCCTCATTTGGACGGTGCCAAAATGGCTAACAAGAAGAGATGGACAAACAGAAATTACGGAAGATCTTCACCGCCCACCTCCCAAGCACGTCTTCCTCTTTTGGTATAATCCCAGCTGGCTTTAACCAGTCCATTACAAAATGCACCACAGGCATGTCAGCCTGCGGCTGTCTTTGAGGCTGTGGCTCTAGGATGCAGGAGGGAGATCATAAGTGTGAGGTGAGAACTCACAGAGGTGAATTACCTCAGTCTGCGGTGCTTTCTGTAGAGTGGCACACTGGTCTTTCTGCACCAGTGACAACCCAGCAGCTGAGCCTGTCATACTCATTAATATTACACATGCCAGACTATCTGAGCATCACGGGTTTGAATATGCAACAGGAACTAGCACTTGGAGGCACACAGCGCTATTTATACGGTTTTATCATTATGGTCCCCGTTAGCATGTGATGTTTTTCTAAAGGGAAAAGCCCATCTGGCAAAGATGGCTGGCTGGTTCCATTATCCAGGCATGGCCAATAACCAACTTTCTGGCCCGTTTCCTGGATTATCACTGTGAATGCTTCAATGACTTACCCGGTCCACAGAGGGGTAAATCCGCCGTCACCAGCCCTGTCTGTTCACTAAGGAGTCACAGTTACTCTCTCTTTAGTCATGAAACACTACTTAGGGCCTATAATGTACTGGGCTGGCAAACACAGGATGCCTGACCTCACGAAGCTTATAGGCTAACAGAGCTAGGCTCAGCTCCTGCTACAGGCAAACACTTCAAGATAAATTAGTAATTTATCTATCACATATTCATTAATTTTTAGTGAAGACCATAAAATGCAACCTTTTGCCCAGTGGGTTAAGTGCTGAGTTGCTAACTGCAAGGTCAGTTGTTCAGATCTATAAGCTGCGCTGAGGGAGAAGGATGAGGCTGTAAGATCTTGTAAAAAGTTACTGTGGGAGAGGTGTGGGGAGGGGCTTCACCCACGGGGTGATGCGGCAGAGTCGGTGGAAGATACCTGGGGCTGATCACCAAGCCGCAGAACCTGAATGACGCCTACGGGCCGCCCAGCAACTTCCTCGAGATCGATGTGAGCAACCCCCAGACCGTGGGGGTCAGCAGGGGCCGCTTCACCACCCACGAAATCAGGGTCAAGACAAATCTTCCTCTTTTCAAGCTGAAGGAATCTCCTGTTAGAAGTGACTTTGAATAGCTGTGAAGTGCATTAGAGAGAGCAAGCAAGACTGTAGTTCCCCCACGCCCTGGAAAAGCCTTTTGACGTCAGCTTCCTTTCAGAGGAGATGGGATCTTGGATGACAGTTTTATCTAGGAAGCACGGGCTGCAGCAGTTATAAACAAGGTCGCTGGTCATCCTCCGGCACAGGGTGAGCGTGGTCTTCACATGTTTTCACAAGACAAAATCATTGATAAGCGCTATACTCCATCCAAAATAAGACATGCCTAAACTATGGCAAGAAGGAGACCAGAAAAAAGAAAAACAAACGCAAAACAAAAAAACACCAACGTTCCGTAACATTGCTGATTCGTATGCACCAGTGAAGAAGTGCTCCCTAACTCTTAGCACGCTGCACAGAGACCGGTCCAACGCGCCCTCGTGTGCTAACACTCCAGATGATGCCGGTTTTGTTTGTTGGGGCAGCTGACAAGAAGTTCATTTGTCTTAGCGAACATCCCCCATTCGAGCCCTTCCCTCAATGCTCTCCCTCGCTGTGCTCCCGCGGTGCGCACCCCTCGACGGCCTCCCCACCTGTCACTCCGGGGTCATCCGCAGTGTCCGCACTAAAGTGACCGCCTAGTCTGCTACGCACAGATTTTGAGTCATGTCTGCTTCTTGAGTCTGACTCACTAGAATGTGCCCCTTCGCCCTCTTGCCACTCCACGATGTCACTTGTCCTGAGTCCTGTGTAGGAGCATGACACCACTGCTTCCCACTTCCGCCCCCAGGAGAGACACTTGTGTGTGCAAACCACGTCTTCCCTCAGGCTCGAAAAACCCTCCACATGGAAGATTCATGAGGGACATCTTTATATTCTGTATAAAGAACAAAATCCAATTTATATACTAAAATCATTTGTCTTAAGATTTTAGGTGGTTTTCCAATAAAAATGAAACCGCAAAAAAAAAAAAAAAGTTACTGTCTTGGGAACTCTGTTCCATAGGGTCCAAACTGACTCCATGTCGGTGGGGTTTACTTTGTTTCTCTCCGCAGAATGTTCTACAAACATCTGCTTCACTCATGCCCCATTCCCCCCATAGCTAGTGATGCCTGAAGCAAAACAACGCCCCCACTGGGAGGAGTCAGGTGAGGTGCCATGTAAGTGATTGGGGAAACTGAGGAAGTTCAGCTGGTTCAGGTCGCACTCTGGCCTTCTTAGCTTGGCAGGTTTCAAAGTGCTCTGCTGGAATTGCTGGGGCAGCACACTCTGGACTGCTACCTCCTGTCAACGCCACGGTTCTTCTTCAACGCCGTGAGCTATGACTCTGTACAAGGACTGACCTCTGACGACAGGAGATGACCTCTATTCACGTTCTGCTGTCTGACTTGGCTATGTTAGTCCCACCCCCACAAAGAACCTGGAATATGCCCTCTCTGTGTTAAGTATTTAATTTTCTCCTTAGAAAGTAAAAGCAGCACAGAAAATAGGAAAAAAATGGAAGTCAATCACCCATTTTCTAAACTTGAGATAGCTATACTCGTGCTTCTATTTGCTGCGGTATCTTGGCAGACAAAGTGAGAGGCCTCTTTGCCCTTCCCTTTCAACCTGCAGTAGGACAGAGAGCACGATGGGCACGCTTCCTTCAGACATTTTGCCTGACATAGTCTGTGGTCTGTATCTAAAATAGCTAATGTGCTTTTAACCACTGAATGACACTTCTCCATGATAGAAAAACAAAGCAATTTCTACAAATGCTTGAATAAATGATGTATAAAATGAAAGGATAATTTATTTTTATAGCTCTCTGCCAAGCTCCATAGCAGACTGTCCAACCTGCAAACAATTTACTCTGTAAAAAATGTCACTAAATAGTGACAAGGACTCACAGGTCAAATGGATTTACATCAAGTAATTTAAATGTCATTCCAGGAAGACCTGCTGACATTTTGAACAAATAATCTCATTTATTTTTTAAGCTCTAAGCTTCAACAAGTTAATTACTGTTGAACTAATGGGTAAACTGAGCATTACAATATAATGTGGGAGCATTTGCAGTTCAGAAATTTATAGAATTATGCAAATACTACAAAATGATTCATTAAATATAAAAGAGGTTTAGAAGGCATTTAAGGACTGAATTCAACCTATGTCATATTTAAAATATGCAGTAAATTCTTTCTGCTTTGATTAAATGTATAGGAAATCTGGTACTTTTTTTAAGTTCCGTTGAG